TGCAAATTGTGTTTGCAGCATCGCTGTCTATCCGGTTCTGGCGAGAGACTTGTACCAACTGTTTGTTTGATGAACTATGGTCGAGACAACCAACTTCAGTGTTCTTCTGATGTTGGAGAATACGTGTCCAACCCTTGAAGAATCTTGGAGTTGGTATCATACCCACATGTGTCCTAGTTCGTGTAAGCTTGTTGGTTAACACGAGTTCTTTGACTTATGCGGGTTTGAGTGTCTGATATTCAAACCACGTGATCACTCATGATGGACAGACCAACAGTACTTTCGGTGTGGGGAGGAGAGAAAAGGCAAAATACCCAAGCACAATTTCAAGTCAACTGCCTAATTATACCAGAAGCCATATCAATGGGGGAAAGGGTTTAAAATGTCAAGGATTTTTTCCAAATTTACAACATTCATCACTGCTTCCAATCTCAAATTCTGGCTAAGAGGTGATGTGCGCCAGGACACTCACCAGTATACTCCCAACCGTGGCCCCCCAAAGCACCCCGGCGCAAACATACAGGGCAAATTATCCCTGATGATACGACCCCGTAACACTGATGGACGACCCGCTCATCCGGTAGCGCCTCTTAGATAGGAACTCCAGTACCCAAAAAAAAAAAAAGTCTCTGGATTAGACGGATGGGGTGTAAACTGTGTAGTACTGGCTATACTCGCTGAGCACCAGGTGCGCACTGGAGGGATTTTTTTCTCAAAAGATTGTACCAGCTGGAGTACGATTTTCAGACCGTTCAGCACTGTGAATCCAATACACCACATGTCCTAACAAGTGCGAGCAGCATAGTGGGGGAGCACGTCCCTTTTTTGTAGTTGCGGCAGCCGAGCTGTGGGAAGGTGGCCGTTAACGTATAATATGTGAGGAAGGGGTTGGGGTGCGGTGCTTTCTCCACTTCATTCTCGCCTTTCTTTTAAGCTGTGTCTTTCCTATCCTGCTTGTTTTGTGTTAATATGTATTAGTTTACGCGGAGTTAAGAGTCGCGTTAATTCCTAGTTATTCGGATTGGAATTGGTGTTTTTCTCTGCAACTACCTTGCGGGAAATTGCCTTCTTGTGAACATTCATTGCTGTAAGTTGTGAATTAGGATTCCGGTTATGGATAATACTTATAAGACCTACAAGACCTAACTCATAGATGCTAGCCAAGTGCGATTTTCCCCCCCGAGAACACTGGAGGGGAACACTTCCTAAGACACCGACTGGACATATAATAGAACTCGTTATGATTCCAGGTAATTCGCCAAAAATCTGGAGCAAAAAATTCCGGCTAGGACCGAATTGTCTATATTTCATAAGGTCTTAGGCCACCTATGTATGAACACGAGATGGTTGAGGCGGTTCCAGCTCTCTATCCATATAGATCTGCCCAGTAACTCTAATTAGCGGAACAGGAAACAAAGGCTAATGGAGGAATAGTGTAGGGGACGAGGGGGATAGGGACAGCGGTATCTCCTACCAATCCAATAGTACTAACCAGCATCTGGCTTACGAACGTGATGAAGATAAACAATGAATTTGTGAGTATAGGGAAATCCTTTTATCGATAATCTTAGTTGATAGTATTTACAACTGCAATTTGTACCACTCCCATCCGTTGTCCAATGTCGCTGGTTTCTTTGGTTGTCAGAGAATAGCGCTGGGAGCCGGCGAAGCTTTTTCCCAGCTTTCACTTTGTTGGATTAAGAACTTAATGGGAAATTGGGAATCGGGGTTGCCGTTTGTCAATTGCGAGTCCAAGGAGAGGTATTTGGTTTCCTATATCGTTACTCTAAAGTACAGTTAAAGCACTACTGAATACTGGGTTAGAGACAGAGAAATCCACAGCATAGACAGTCCCACACAGCGAGCTGAGGGGGAGAAAAGATAAATATTCTGGGACCAAGAAGGGCGAGGGAAAGCGGGGGAGGAAACATTGTCACTCCGAATTATGAAGCTTACTACCACTGCCAGGGTACTAACTCAAACAGCCAGAGGTCCTCGTGGCCGTGCTGGCTGCTGTTCTATTCCCCTGATATCCCGTATTATAGTCCTAGGGGGGTCGCACTTTATCTGATGGAAGAAAGTTGGTCAGAGGTCAAGACTCTTCTAGCGCAGCCGAATGTGTCCTAGCTTTTGCAAGCTGGATGTTAACGGTTTGGGGGTATACGGCGGATAGGTTTCCTCAGAACCATTGGGGAGTACGGATGGTTGATACACAGGAAGAGAATATTTGTCGGATCACTCGGGTTGTTCTGTTCTGTTTGGTGAGGTTGGAGCTGATAGATCCGAGTAAGAAGTGTAGCGAGCTATTGGTAAGAAAACTCTAGCTATTTCTGGGTTCCTGATTGCTTACAATTCTCAATTTTTCTCTCTGGGCTAGATAAGTTTTCCTCAACCTGCTGGTACTATACCGACCTTAACTCAATATCAGGTTCAGAATAACCAAGTGGTAGAATTGGACATCCGCTACTCCCGACAAAATTGTTGAGGATTAAGTCTGAGCCATGACCAGGTCACTGCTCATACTGAAGGTTGGGCTTCTGGCCCCGTCTTTTCTCTCATTCACAGATACAAGGGCCGACTACCGTATGCTACCAACCGGCAATGTATAGATGAGGGTTTTAGTAGACTCAAAAGTAGCTCTTCCTGGGGTACTGTACACACTCAAAACCTGGGCAGGTTCCTGGAGACCAATAAACAAAGAAACTACCCTTTTGATGAAATGAGCCACCAATAAAGCTGCAGGGCACTCCTCTCCCAAGACAAGAACTTTCCAAACCCCTCCCCGCGAGCCATAACATTCGCACTACGTACCGACAAGCTGCACCAATTCCGAGTTCAAGTCTTGGTACTACAACGCAGGCCACGGCTCCCCACCCCTCTCCCTATAAAGTTACTCACGAGCAGCGTTGTCAGTGATAAATATCATAAAAAAACGAACAGAGAAAGCCGCTAGAACGCTCAGAACCACCCCCCCCACCAAATGGTAGATGTATTCTCAACCAACCTTCTGTCGGGACGGGTAAAAAGTGAGGCAGAAAAAGAAAACCAGGCTTTAGCATATACTTGGACAAAAGCACTAGCTGGTACGGTGCTGTGCAACACAACTCCAACCAAAGCTCGACAACTGTTCATCTTAGAGCTGGATTGGCAGGGTATGGCGTTGTGGGGGGGGGTTAAGTCGCTCCTCCCTCCCTCGCTGCATTGTAAGACGTGTGTGTGTTTGTGCGAAAATGTGAAGGTCGAGAATGCTATCCGGGTAATACTCAGGGAGGGATCAAGGAAGATAAGGTACGGTAGGCAGTTTGGTGGGTAGTTGTTTTTCTTGCTGGGATAAAAGATTGATCCGAAGGCTGTTGCAGTGCGGTACGGTACTTGAGGAACTATGGCTATGACATTAAGGAGGATCCAGTCAACCGGGTCTGTGGAAATAGCGCAGGCTTGATAGGAACCAAGTTAAATGCAGACAGAGGATTCCAATCAAGACGCTCGAGAACTGCTCAAAGTCAATGGCAAGTAGAAGGTACCCTTGCCAGTCGCTGACCTGGCCGCAACCCATCACTTGTACTCAGTACAGTACGTGTAACATCCAGTCACGTTGCCCTGTTGTCCTGGAAGTGTGGAAAGTTGTAACGAAACAGTTGAATAGACTACTACCATAGTGGAAACCCAGAGCTCTAAAATCAATGTCTAACAAGCAGGAAGAGGAAAATTTACAGCAGAGGACCGTGGGAGGAACATCCCTGATATAACATGTTGGATGTGCCCTACCGGCATACCCCGTCGAAACACTGACACTTAAAAAAAGAAAAAAACAAGCAAATACTCCCTAGAGATGAGTTGAACAAAAAGTCCGCATGCGACATGATCCAATTCCCACCCATAACCCGTTTGCCGGTTTGGTCGAACACGTCTATCATAGCAGTTTCACTCCCCACACATGACCAAACAAGCCAACCACCGGATCGGGAAAAAACCTTACCATACTCCAGGAGGTCCATGAAAACCACCACTCTCCAGTCCAACTTAGATTACCCGAGCGCGGTATGACTACATGGTACCAGTACGGTAAGTACGATGTTCAGCCCCGGTAATAGCTCCTCAGCAGGTTTCAATCAACGTGATTTACAAACTTGGCAGTCAACTTGTAATACCTAAACCTAATTCGGCAGAAATCCGAATTCGGCAACTCCATGATATGATACAAGGTGAATCATGTGACCCTTATCACTTTTTTTTTTTGTGCTGGCAGGGCTGCGGGAAAGTAGAGAGAGTAGTTGTGTGTGCTGGCTTGTGCGCCTCATTTTACTACCATACCACGTATATCGAGCTGGTACAGTACTGTGCGGTAGCTCAATTGCGTTAAAATCGGGGAGTGGGGAAGTCGCAGGCGTCGGGAGGGCGGGAGGTGGGAGGTGGGAGGTTCTTGCCTTGCGGTGGGTTAGCGCTTTCGAGCCGAGGGGGATAAGTTAGCCTTGTCCGTGGGGCTGTGGAAAGGTTCTGCGGTGAAGGGGAGGGGAGGGGGGGTTGGAGTGTTTATGATACCGAGGTGTTTGCTGGGTTGATCTATTTGGGTTAATGGGTTTGGTTGTGCTGAGCACAGGTTAGTGGTTTAGTTTTAGGGCCTATATGAGTTCTCCTGAAACGGGGTGACAAATGCGACCGATACCATGAGTAGGCTAGATAATTTCTTCATTCATTACAGTATTCGTGTAGTGAGAGGGGAAAGAAAAAAGGTTTAGTAAGAGGACAAGAAAGAAACTGAAAAACAACATACGCCATTCTACCGCATTAAAAAGTGAATGATCTCTCGCAAATACTGTAGTGTACTCTCGGTAGAGGGGGTGCTTGTGAAATCCAAAATTTAAGTTTAGAGGAGAGAACAAAACAAAACAGGAGCCCAATTCATTCCAATTCATTCTTCCATTCCCAATATTACTATTTTTTCCCGCACACTGTAATAGATTCTTCAATCCATTCCCACCCCAGATTTCGAGGCTAATTTAGAGCGTTGTGCGCTCATAATCCTCGTCCGGCGGGATATAGTACTCTTCCCCCTCACCATCCGCCGACATCAACCCCCCATCGCTCGCTCCACCACTCTCCCCCTCCCGGACGGGAATCTTCCCATTGGTCCTCCTCCTCCGCTTATCCCCCAAATCCCGCTCGGGATGGCGCACCTTGTAATGCCTCCTGACGGCGACCACGGCCGAATTCCTGGTCTTGTATGTGCCGAAATTCTCACAGTAGGGGCAGGAGCGTTTCCAAACCCCGTCCCTCTCCTCCCTGACTTCCGGTGAGGTCTCAGCACCCTGCCTATCGCAGGCGCCGCTCCTCTGGTGTCGCTTGAGCTTCTGCGCGCCGGCGAACGTGCCGCCACACCGGGGACACTCGGTGCGCTTCACGTTCTGCGGCTTCTCTTGCGTCGCGATGAAGAAGGACGAACTGTCCCCCACCTTCACCGCCACCTTAGCGGGCGACTCGGTTGGGTGCGCTGCCGTGATCTCCACGCCCGGCACACGCGTCGGGAGCGGTTGCGGAGTCCAGTCTGTTGGCGTCTGCGGAGGGGCCGTCGGCGCGAAGCAGACGTTGATAAACACCATTGATGCCGGGTCGCGTTGGCGAGGGTTCCGGGGCGGTGGTTCATGCGGGGTCTGACCTTGGTTCCTGTTTGGCATTGCTGTTACCGTGGCGAGTGGGTTTCCCGAATGACGGACGCATGTGGACATATTCGCGGAATGCGGATGGCTTGGGCGGGATTTAGAGGTATCTTGGGTAGCACCCCTTTCGCAGCGGAATGGTAAAAGTGTGAGAAGATGAGGTGGAGGAGAGATAGATTGGAGGATTTATCGTGGCCTCGTTGGCTCGCTGACTTAGCATTGAAACTCTCTCATGGGTACGCCTGGAGATTGGTTATTATTATTATTTTTTCTGCCGGCTTTTCCATGGGGCGGTTTCCAATTAGTCGTGATCATTGAGCATCCCTTTGATTGAGCTTTTTTCGTTGTCATATTGGAGGGAGTGAGGGAGAATTCTATATCCCGGTCAAGGCTCCGACAAGGCTCTAATTTGTTGACTTGGGGTGCGCCTGTGAAGCTACCCATCGTACAGCAGTCCGATCTCTTCAAATATTAGGCGGGCAGACAGTTTTCTTAACCTCCGAAGTGCGATTCTGCTTTCCAAGCGGGCCGTATGCCGTGTGGTACTCGAGTACATGGCCGCCTCCACAGGTACGGAGGCCAGAACATATATCTACGACAGGTAGCCGGCCCCCCTGGAACACTCCGAGAGCAGGGCTCCCCGATGTAGCTCCTGCACTCGGGTCAGGTCCTTGCAATAAACACTACTCGCTGGCCGGGGATGTAATAAAGTAACTTTAAGATCACGGTCGGCATCCCCCAAGCCAGATTTATGAGAGCAATCTCATAGAAAACCGTTCAGGATTAACCGGACGTCCGAATCCCGAAGTTACGGTAAGCTACAGGTGAGCTACGGGAACAATGTGGGGCCATGACGAGTTCGGATTTGTCCTTTGTTTTCTTCGCTTGGATTGCGGGTAACCCTAGCCCAGGCGAACACTTTCTGCCATGCATCCTTGTCAGAGCGGATTTGTGGGCAGTGAGTTGAGGCGGAAGTGCTATTTAACTAGATTATTAATGTGCCATAGCAAGAAAAGGAGTCCCCGGGAGCCTTGAGGTTTAACGTATCGTTTGGTGAGGTGTAGCCGCGAGTGGCAACACGACGAATACCGCTAACCTTTGACGATAGGGGAATTGTGTCAAAAGTTATGGCCAGAAACCAGTGCCTCTACCGGTGCTGAGATGTTGCGAGCCCAATGAGGATAGTGGAGCGGTTGTTTGTGCAGAGGTATGATACTTGTGTCAGGCTCGTGTTACAGTACTGTACACGTTCCGCTCGCAAAGGAACAACTGTCATTTTGAGATACCTTTGCCCCATGACAGATGGACGACAAGAATCATACCACGGTCCTATCATACGTAGCTTGAACCGACATTTATCACCAGAGCAACGACACCAATCTGTCCATGTGCGCGTTGGTGCTCCGTGACTCAACTTTGCACAATCTCAATAACCCTCCTTTTGCTTGTAGTTTGCCCCAACCTCGAGAGCAAAATCCGCAACCCGCAGCAAGTTTCGCACCGCTCATCAAAACTTCCACAAAACAACATACGGAGCGGACAACGACCAGAGAGCATGACAAACCATATCCAAAAAATCCGGTGGAAACGTCAAATTTGGCATTGTAGGGCTGTCCGCTGTCTCCCCACCCCTCCACTCGGGTACGGACAGCTAGGGATCAGAAGTGTCAAAAGATTCCTACCCGCCAGAACGACTCCCACTCCCCATCCGGGCCAGAACGGTCAGGCCTCCAGACTCCCCTCCCTGGCTACCCGGCCACCCACGTCCGTACCCGAGTGCTCGTACTACCGGCAGTTAAGGCACATTTCGGATTTACCACCGTCTCGATAATACCGTGCCTCTTCACTACCGGTACCGGTTGAGAATCCCCTAAGACCCGGGCCTATCCCTCTGGCCTAGACCAATTACCGGTACTCCAGTTTGTCAAACCTGCGGTGGTTTGTAATTCCCCAGTTCTAGCGGACTTAATTGTGGGCGGGCTGCAGGAGTTTACGGCGTCGCTTTGGACTTTCTCTTATACAGGTTGGAGCGCTAGGTCTAGTTTGGCCGGACTGCCTTCCTTAAACCAAGCCCCAATCTAGGCGTTGGGGTAGACAGCACCAAGAGCCAATTGTGTACAATCCTCTCAGCCAGGTCTAGAATGGCCTAGCGAGTGATGACATGATGCGAAGTGCGGAGCTTGGTCGGGTTGGGGTAGTGCTGCGTGTTTACTTCATCGAGCTTACGAAAAAAACGGTCCGGAGGATCTCGCTTACCCCATTCCACATCCCAGAATGCTCTAGAATACTCTAAATGGGTTAAGATTTTGACTCGGCACTTTGTCTCCGAACTGGGGGATGTTCCTGGGGAGATCCTGTGGCTTCTCTGGTATCCAAATTTTAATCTGCCGGGCGCGGGGGGGGGTGCACCCCTTGCTCCCCACAACTCCCCGCCGAACATCTAAGTTACATGGAGTGTGGGGGGAAAAGCCATCACTGGAGCAATCGAGAACTAGAGAATCAGGTTTCTACAGGAATTCGGCACATACTGTTATGGTATAATTGGTACTTGTTAGGAAACACCGAGCTCACATCCCGATGGGCAGCACGGTACTCTAGGCACTACTTGTAAAGTTATGATGCAAAACTGAACAATTGCGATAACTGGTCTCCCAGCCACTGCGCTCTGCACGATTTTGAGCAATTCCGTCATTACCCCCCCCGCGCTCTCACGTCTCCCCTCTAACCCGAGGAACCTTGAACCTACATCTACCGCCCATCCGCGAGGAGACGAAGAAAGTGTAGGAAAACACAAAATGGAACGAAAGGGAATACACGAGTACTAGTAATACAAGTAAATTTACAAAGCGAGAACAACTGCTGAGACGAGAAGAAAAAAAAGATTACAAATATAGCCCATGGGTAAAATTAATTTATATTAATATAGTATCCATCCACCCATCCCATTTCGCCGACCTTAATCACAGGCTCATAAATCCTCACCCACCCACTGATAGCAAATACCGATGGAAGCTTGTACCGGTACCGGTACAACTGGAGGTATGCAATGCAGGTCCTGATCCGACTTCCTTCGTGCATTGACGGCCAGCATGGAGTCTGAGCTTGGTTCGTGCCACCCCTGAGGAAGGTCGCACAGGAATCGGAAAATCAACGGGGCCGTACGAAAGGGGTACTATAGCGCAGTTTTTGGCGCCAGCAGTAAAGATTTCTAGAGATATTCGAGCCACCAGCGAGAGCGCTACTTTACACTCACCATCTGGTCTGTGGGGGAAATTGATTTTCCTTCCGTCGAAACGGGTGCGGGCCAGCAAGACCGGCATTTTCCCATTGTTACTTGAACTCCCCCGCCCCCGACGCTCTCCGGTCCATTCCAGTCTAGACAGTAAGCCACCTCCCACTTCCTTACGCCCACATACCTTAGAATCTCAAATTGTTGAACCTCGTATCATACTATCATAGGTAGTCCAAATTTTTCCTCCCTTTGGAAAAGAGGGTGGGGAAAAAAAAAACGCAGTCAAAAGCGTGCAGGTCAGCCCCCTCAGAAAGAGAAGGCAAAAATATGATTTTTTTTTTTTTAAAAAAATAACCAGATGAAGGCGACTCGAACGACATGAGCAGTACACGCTCCAATCGTTTGAAGATTTTACACTAAGTGCGGCCGACGGGGGTGGCCTTGGGCCCCTATATATGATGTTTAAGCTTGTTAGAGTTTGACGTCCTCCGATTCCCGCGAGCAGCTTTTCATCGCTCCCTTCCCGAGTAGTCCACGAGAGTGGCGTTTGGTCCGCACCATCCAGCTCCGCCGGGACCAACATTTCCCCCCGTCCGAGTGGTGGCTTCACCAACTACACCATGACCGTTTCCGGCTACCCTTCGACAGTGGTGTTGGGCCCATATCGTTTGATCTGTTGGGATCGACTTTCTGCGTTGGTTGTTGAAAGGTATGATACTTAAGTTATGCCTAGACCAAGTGCTTCGGCGTCCCCATCACTTCAATCCCTTGGTGTTCGAGGGGGGGAAAAGAACCCATATCACTGCTGGATTTAGATAGTGCAAACATGGGACGGGTTGGTGGTAGACACCGAATATATACCGTGCACTAGATCTGTGTCTGGATTGCTTGAAGATCCGGGGCTTTGGTGGATCTTTTATATCATCATGTTATTTCATCATGTTACTCGTTCACAGCTATTGATGGTTTGCTTTACAAAATTAATCATGTACAGGTTCTAGAGTTAGAGAGAATTGATTGATGGACTATAATATAATATTACCGTTGTTGTTAATGAGGGTATTGTCCTCTAGTTTTTTGTGCCTCTGCCTTGGTTTGTGGGGGGGCTGCTTCGGCAGGATAAGGAGGACTTGGTTCTAAATTTGCTTTCTTCTCTTAACTTCTCTTTTCCTTTCATGTAACGTCTTCTGTATCACACCAGCATTCCATCAAACTTTGCCTTCAGGCTTTATTCTCCTTTCTCTTGCACTTCCTCGACGAGCCCTGCGGAATACCCACCTACCAAGCCTTATATCGCTGAGACTGCGTCACGACTGCGTCACGACTGTTTCCGGCTGCCTTTGACAGTGGCGTCGGACTCATATCGTTTAATTCGTTAGGGCCGACTTCTTTCCGCACTAGTTGAAGGGTACTCGTACTGATGTCTGGACCAAGTGCTTCGGCGTCCCCACCACTTCAATCCCTTGGTGTTCGGGGAAAAGAAAAAAAGGCTCATATCACTGCAGGATTAGGTTGGATGGTGGAAACATGGGACGGGTTGGGGGCAGACACCGGTATGCGTTTCTTCATCCGTTGGACGATATCAATCTCTACTAATCCTTTCTTCACTTCACAGTTTTTACCCCTCCTTTCCGGCATCCCAAGACAATACTCTCCGGCCGCATTCGATGTCCGACGTACCGTATCGGCATTGACGCCCTCGCGGTCCAGCAATAGCTTCACAACTTTATCCTTCCCAGATATACCCGCCCACATGAGTGGCGTAAGTACTCGCGGTAGGCCAGCTAAGCCCAGTGGGAGGACCGAACATTCCCTGTCAGGATATCTAACGCAAATCCTGCACCATTGATATTATAATCAAGTTTGCGCAAGATATCCCGAAAAAGTAATCCGGTATCATACGAGAAAGGTTGTCGCACCTGATAAAACACTTCAGAAAAGCAACCCTACGTCATTTAAGAATCTCTCTTTGGGCGCGGACACCCCGGTACAAAGAAAAAATAATACTGTAGTGAAAGTTAGGGTATGTATGGCCATGTTTCAGCGATTGTCCCGTGATCTCCGCTGGAATTTAGGATTTCGAGCTAAAAGAGTGGATTAACCGTCAGCCGGAGCTCCC